GAAAACTACAAGCCTGAATGCTTTGATACTTGGTGTATATGTACCTTGGGTAGACCTCTCTTAGGTTTGTTCATTTCATGTTGATATCTTCAATTCTCTAATTTTGGTGAATATTTTTGTCATTTTTGGTAAAAAGTGATATTTTCGACTTCTTGTTAAAAACCGCAAGTGCAATTGCTTTGATATTACATATATAGGTACTACATGTGGACCTCTCTCAGATTTGTTTATTTTGTAATGATATCTTTAATTCTCTAATTTTGGTGAATATTTTTTATCATTTTTGGTAAAAAGTGATATTTTCGACTTCTTGTTAAAAACCGCAAGTCCAATTGCTTTGATACTACATATATAGGTACTACATGTGAACCTCTCTCAGATTTGTTCATTTCGTGATGATATCTTCAATTCTCTAATTTTGGTGAATATTTTTGTAATTTTTGGTAAAAAGTGATATTTTCGATTTCTTGTTAAAAACCACAAGTCCGATTGCTTTGATATTACATATATAGGTACTACATGTGGACCTCTCTCAGATTTGTTCATTTTGTGATGATGTCTTCAATTCTCTAATTTTGGTGAATATTTTTGTAATTTTTGGTAAAAAGTGATATTTTCGACTTCTTGTAAAAAACCAATAGTCTGATTGCTTTGATATTACATATATAGGTACTACATGTGGACCTCTCTCACATTTGTTCATTTTGTGATGGTATCTTCAATTCTCTAATTTTGGTGAATATTTTTGTAATTTTTGGTAAAAAGTGATATTTTCGACTTGTTAAAAACCCAAAGTTCAATTGCTTTGATATTACTATATAGATACTACATGTAGACCTTTCTTAGATTTGTTCATTTCGTGATGATATCTTCAATTCTCTAATTTTGGTGAATATTTTGGTCATTTTTGGTAGAAAGTGATATTTTCGACTTCTTGTTAAAAACTGTAAGTCCGATTGCTTTGATACTATACATATTGTTCATTTTCTAATGATGTCTTCAGTTCTTTAATTGAAATGTGCATTGCTAACAGCGGAGCTATCTCAGCCGATAGGCTGCTTGTTAATTATGTACATCCCAATTGGTTGGTAAACTTGCAGACAGGAGAGCTGCCAAATGTGATTTACAGTGGTAGTTAGCCAAATGTAGGAGTGTACACTTGCGCATGGGGGGGGGGGGGCTTACACTGATGACTGCTAATTTAATGCAGCCAGAGCCTTTTGTTGAAATGAGCGATTATAGTTTTACTGCCTGACTGCAAAATCCTGCATTCTGCATGAAAAGGAACGTAAAAAAAACAGGGCAAAGGTCATAGCATAGCAGTGGTGTAAAAGATTCTGTGGGATTTAGCAAAGTTTAGCAAACTTTCATGCTTAAGGATGTGCTATATACTGAGTGATAACAGACAATTGTATCTGGACGTCATATTCCTCGTTGAAAGATCCACATTTCAACACTGAGCTATAAAATAAGAAATTCAAGTTCAATTTTTGCGACAAACGTTGAGTCCACGTTTTTCACGCAATACACAAGATCTCGCAGTAAACAGAAAATCATATATCAATACTAATAGTAAAAAGTCAAACGCTAAGTTTTCTACTTTTATTCTACAGGAATCGGTGTACCAATCATGTTAGCGTATGTCTATGGGGTTGTACCAATTTCACTCTGCCGCAGCGGTGGATGCGGAGTGACTACAAGTGATGGTGGTGGTGTAAGAATCGAATTTGATGACGAGACTGATGTTACCGTTGGAATCACTGGAATATTTACAGGTGAAATAATTTTCTTATGAAAAAAAAATGATGTAACTTAATGATATTTGTGTACGGCAAGGTACCTCATTTATGTGGAGTTTATTAAAAGCACACCATTTATGTAGAGTTCATTAAAGGCACATTGTTCGTGTGTGAAGTGAAAAGAATTTTTGAAAAATTCAATAACAAAAAACATCAAGTTTTTAACGGAAATTCTATGAAAATTTAAGTAGACCTGTGTGCATCAATTTTAAAAAACAAATTGACCAGAATCATTTTTTAGCCTCCATATATTGTATAATATTGCTGTTTTAAGACAACACTTTAAAAAAAGACCACACACCTTTAGAGGTCTCAAATGAAACCTACCATATTTCCTGTTAATAATAGTATTTAAATGACCATTGGGATCAAAATGAGTTGTATTTTATTCGTATGTACCTAAAATACAGTTTTTGATTCATGTGAGCTTAATAGAACAAATACGATACTAGCATAGATTATGTACTCGTTTCATATCTAAACCCTTCTTATCTTCTTACATATACAGGTGATGCCAGTGCTGCAGAGGTGAACTCGGCTGTAGTCAACCCCAGTATTGGCGAGGCTAGTGTGGGTGGTCTAACCGGAGGCCTCAGTGCTAGTGGAAGTCACATTGATAGGGCTGGTGTTATACGTGACAGCGATGCAGTCAGTGATAACGCCAGCACCAGAGCCATTGCTGGTGCTAGTATTACTGGTAGTCTTTCTGGAAGTGTTGTGGCTGGTCCATCAGGTATCGGTCAGAACAGGTGAGTTCTTGTCATCTGTTTTAGAAATATTTATTGGTTTGATTGTTTTTTGCTCTGAGGTGCTGATTGATTTACATACTTAAAATATTGAATTGACTTTATAGACGTAAATGGTCAAAGATCTCATTCAGAGCGAGAGAGCTGCAAGACTTGTTTTTTGTCTCTCAAATTGTGTTCCATTCTCTGCTGCCATTGTGTTCTCTGTTCCTAATGTCATGAATGCACTCATAGTTAAGAATGGAACGCTATTTAATGGACAAAAATAAGTCTCTTGGCTTTCCCGGCAACTGTTTGAAATGTCCACCACGAATGTAATAGCTAACTCAATGCTGTTGGATTGCTGCTTTCTGTGATGCAGTTTGACTGCTGCTTTCTGTGATGCAGTTGGACTGCTGCTTTCTGTGATGCAGTTGGACTGCTGCTTTCTGTGATGCAGTTGAACTGCTGCTTTCTGTGATGCAGTTGGACTGCTGCTTTCTGTGATGCAGTTGGATCATTGCTTTCTGTGATGCAGTTGGATTGCTGCTTTCTGTGATGCAGTTGGATCGCTGCTTTCTGTGATGCAGCTGGACTGCTGATTTCTGTGATGCTGTTGGACTGCTGATTTCTGTGATGCAGTTGGATCGCTGCTTTCTGTGATGCAGCTGGATTGCTGCTTTCTGTGATGCTGTTGGACTGCTGATTTCTGTGATGCAGTTGGATCACTGCTTTCTGTGATGCTGTTGGATTGCCGCTTTCTGTGATGCAGTTGGACTGTTGCTTTTATGTGATGCAGTTGGACTGTTGCTTTTATGTGATGCAGTTGGACTGCTGCTTTCTGTGATGCAGTTGGACTGCTGCTTTCTGTGATGCAGTTGGACTGCTGCTTTCTTAGATGCAGTTGGACTGCTGCTTTCTGTGATGCAGTTGGATCATTGCTTTCTGTGATGCTGTTGGATTGCCGCTTTCTGTGATGCAGTTGGATTGCCGCTTTCTGTGATGCAGTTGGATCGCTGCTTTCTGTGATGCAGTTGGATCGCTGCTTTCTGTGATGCAGTTGTATCGCTGCTTTCTGTGATGCAGTTGTATTGCTGCTTTCTGTGATACAGTTTTGTCAGCTGAAGAGAAATAATGCATATCCAAGTTTAACGTGACACTGTATGACTTTCATCACTTTATCAATCACATATCAATCTATTTGAGTTACCTGTAAATCAACTTTATTTTTATTTTCTTTTGTTCAGGATGGAAGCCCACATTGATAACAATCGTAACAGCATGAGCAGTGAATGTGCCTCACTTGGTGATAACACAAGTACAACTACTGGTAGGTGGGGATTGAGACGGAAGAGACGCAAACGTAGACAGCATGTTCCTTCTCCCCATCCTGTTTAAAACCACCTTCACCAATCCATGCACTGCTCTGTTATGCACTCTGTGTTCTGTGCAATAACTACAATGCTCTTTTGTATGATTTGTCGCTTTTGATGAGGAAATAAAGAACTAATTGCAGTTAAAGACTCTCCCGCTTTGTATCTATGTCATTAACTTATGTATTTTTTTGTGTAATATTCAGTTTCTATAATATGCATGAAGTTTCTCCTTTTTTGCACGATGTAAAAGTTGTACCATCACAATTCCCTGACATGCTGTACTTCCCTAATTTTATCTTCATCCTAATCTCAGTAAAGTTTGCTTTTTTAAATCTCTTATGCTTGTCTGGAACCCCAAAAAACTCCCTAGCATACCATCCTTCATGTACCTTGACTCCCTAGCCTTTTAATATCCCAATTTGGGACCCCTTTTTATGCTTGGCCTGGTTTAAGATCATACTACACTTCACAAAGGATATTTTTTTATAAATTATATGATCAATTTTTTAATTACCGGTAATATCAAATTAATATCAAGGATTGATTGTAAACAATTTTGACAATTCACATATTTGCATTTGCATCTACTTTTGTAGCAAAATAAACTGCAACCCTAGCATAAATACTTCTAGGAAAGATTTTTCATACAGATACCAGCAGTGGGTTTGAAGAAAACCGTTCTAAATCTTTATAGATTGAACAATTAGTATTTGGAATTGAAAAAAATTCCAATTCACAAAGTATCATAAGGCATAGCAGCAATGTCCAAATGGTTATCTACTGGGTTTTTAAGAATCAAAACAAAATCAAGTTTTTTGGTGAAATGAAAGTGAAGTGTGCTGTCATGTTTTAGTTAGTTGAAAAAGTTTCATCTACCATATTTTCTCTGTTAGTAGTGCTTGCCCTTGCGTCGATGGTCAAAATGGGTCACAGGTTAAAGTTGCAGTCTGAAAGCATTCATAGAGTATTATTGGATGAGGGATCATTAGTGGGAAAACAATAGGATTCACCACTACATGTATTATGTCTTGTTTTTAATTATTACCTTGTGGTTATTCAGAACAGAAACAAATTTTTGTGAATTTGTATGTGTTTGAACACTAATTCAAAAGTGTTAGCAAAATAATATTTGAGCCCACAATCAAATAGAAGGCCGAAATGCTCGCCAGCGAGTGTTTATTGTGCGAATTGTGGGAAATATAAAATAAACCTTCAAATTGAAATGTTTTCGCTGTGTCTGATATAATTACCAATTTAATAAAAAAAAATAAAGAGAACTTACAAAGTAATTTATGTAGTTGACTTTAAATTATTTCTGTTCCAAATTACTGTTACCCGGTAGTATTGATTTAAAAAAAAAAAAATAGAATCCTGTTGAATCCTACCCCCCCCCCAATATACTTTTTAAACCCTAATAAATCCCTATGAATACTCTAAGAGGGCAACTTTAAAAGATACAATTTTTTGGGTTGATTGCGAACTCTTTTGGAGATGCCTTCCAATAGAGCAAGTACGGGCGTGTGAGAATTTGTCAATTTCATTGTGATGGTACATTTGTCTTGATAAATCGTAATATCTTTATTACTATTGTTTGTATATATTATGTAAATCCTGCACTTTTCCAGTTTTCTTAGTCTTTAATGTTGTCACCTTCTGCACCTAATTCATTTTAACAATGTATAGTCACACCTACCTTTGTTCCTTTACCAAGTTGCTGTGTTGTTATAAAACCACCATTATTATTAACCCTTTATCGCATTGCTTTATATAAAAGAAATGATAAACTAATATTATAACATGTTATTACTTTTTTTAAGCATAAATTGTAATATAAAACTATATTTATGTGGGGGTTTGGAGCTGAAACATTTAAAACTAGTTTACTGGACTAATGGTGATTACATGCAACCTTTTAGTGCCTAATTTTTCCCTGCTCAAATGTGAGTAAATTTCTCATTGTTTAGAATTTTTACAGAATTCAATCTTAATTTTGGACCCAAAATACCACATTGCTTTCAGTTTTCAATAAAAATAAAATAAAATTTTCGTCAACATTTTTTGTGGGAAAAAAAAAACAGCCTATACCGAATAATTAAAACTATTATGTGGATGGTCCTGGAGTTGACGGTGGTGCTCAGGGGTTTGAGGTAACAAGATATCAAGGTGTAATAATACTGTAATTGAATAACTCTTAAGAATAAATAAGAAATATATTTATAAACTTGAATAAAGATAATAAATGACGTCCACTGTGATTTGCTGTCCGTCATACATTTGACAGTGGAAGTAAAACAAAACTAAAACACTCGTGTTGTTCTTTTTCACTGGGAAGAGACAATGAAACAAACATCTTAACATGTTTATAATAAATGGACATGGACAGCAATAAAGCTGAAATCTACTGTGGATACACAGAAAAGTGTACATACAAAAGACTTGTCTGTTTGGTTGCCTAGGATGGGACTGTACTTTATGCATAGACTTTACTGTTGTTTTTTTTGACTGGTTGATTGACATTTATTCACTTCAGAGCAGATTGATTCTGTTTTGTTGACAAGCACATTACCTTTGAAAGTTTAAAAGAACTGACAATGTGACAACCATCACTTCAAGTCCAATATCTTTTTTTTTTTAAATGTCTCTATATAACATACTATGACCAATTGTATAAAAATCACACATACAAAGCACATCATGAGATGTGCGCAATACTGTAAATTACCCAGAATTTTTCACTGGCTTACAGTTTTGAACCTGCTGTATTTGTTTTTCAAAAGTATGTTTTGCAATGAATGATCAAAAGACAATTTATACGGTTGCTACGGCTACGAATGCCAGTCTTTAAGGGACACCAACCACCAACTTAATTACTTACCTGATAGGTAATATGCATATTTCCTTCAACGACACAACCAGGTTCTGGGGATTTCCTTAGTTATCTATATACTGTAAAATACTTCATTTTCGCTTGGAATTTATTTTCGCTGAAGGGATGATTCTGTGAAAATAAAATCCAGCGAATATACTTTTTTCCTTATATTCCACATTAAACTCATGAAAAATCAGTGACAATAAATTCCAAGCAATCGGAATTTTTTTGCGTTGTTTTAATGGTGTATCTATCGCAATTGAAATATTTTTCGAGTAATTTTAGTGTATTTCAGCTGGTGTTGCTGGGAAGTTTTCATGGAGAAAAATATATTTGAGAAAGATTTCATGTTGTATGGAAGTGCTCAAGAAATATATTTATGACTTGAAAGTTCAATCAGTAAGAGGGCGCCAGCCGAGAGTGTCAGGGTACTGCGCCCCTGTTCCCCGGTTAAAAAAAAAATTTCAAATGAGTACTGTGAAGAAATTAAAAGGGATACTACAATTTTCTTTTCTTGGAAAATGTAGAATAAAACATGAGAAATATAACAG